ACCCAGCCACAAAATCCTCTCTTGCTCTATGTCTCTCCCCCTCTCCCCCTCTGTATCTCTCTACCTCTCTGCCACCTCCCTCCCGCTCTCTCTGCATCTCCCCCTCTCTCTTCCCCTTTCTCTATCTCTCCCCCTCTCTCTGTATTCCTTTCCCTCTATCTTCCCTTCTTTCTCCCCCTCTCCCTATCTTCCCCCCTCTCCCCCCTCTATCTCTCTCCCCCTCTATATCTCTTTCCCTCTATCTCCCCTTCTTTCTCCCCCTCTCCCTATCTCCCCCTCTCTCTCCTCTCTGTGTCTCTCTCTCCCCCAGCCAGGTGGTCATGAGAGGAGAAGAAGGGGGAGAAGGAGGAGGAGGATCACCCGAAGGGAAGCCTCTACCAGAGAGAGAGAGAGAGAGACAGAGAGAGGGGGGGGCAGCCCCCTTTTTCCTGCTGCCCTAAGCTTCTTAAAGCCGTAGCTGGGCACTGCGGGCCCTTCACCCTTTCTGATGTCCCATCCTCTTGGATCCCATTCCCACCCTGCCAGCCCTCATATTAGCGAGGCCGGTGTCAGTTGTGAGGCATGCCCAGTACCAACAAGGGCTGGAAGGTATGCCCAGAACCAACAAGCAGCAACAGTGATACGCTGGAGAATCAGCCCCGGCTGCTTCTCCATCCCCTGCCATCACCCTTACCTCCTAAGGCCAGTTGAGTGAGGGCAAGGGGCGGGGCCAGCCAGTGATGGGACAAGGAGCCACAGCAGAGGGTGCAAAGAGCCGCATGCGGCTCCGGAAATGCAGGTTGCAAACACCTGAACTAGGCAAACTGAAAGGATATAACAGATAGCAGTGTAGAAATTGTGCTCTCTACCTGGATATTTTTCTGGATGACACTGATAAACACAATCTGAGTGTCCTTCTAAAGCATGGGTGCCAAACTCACGGCGTCACATTGCTGTCGTGATGTTTCACATTTTCTCCTTTGCGGAGCTGAGGTGGGCATGGCCTGTATGTGGTGCATCCGGGCCTCTTTTATTGTTCCTTTTATTGTTCTAAAAGGAACAATAAAAGGAACAATAAAAGAGCTGATGGCTCAGTGACTCCAGTGAGCCATCTTTGCAAGGTTGTCCTTATGGTTCATCCCACAGAAAGTTCTGAGGGCAATAAGCTGTTAATTTTAACAGCTGTTAAAATTAATCATTCTGCTGTAAAAATTCTTATTTCCAAGAAAACCAGATTAAGGTTTTAATCTAACATGTTAAGCACGATTTTTATTTATTTGTCAAATTCATATGGCTGCCCATTTCATACAAGGTGACTCTGGGAAGCATACAATAAAATCTTCATACATATTATTATTTCAAATATGTAGAAGTAAGTTACTTACTTGCAGAGCTCATCATCCCACTCTAATGAATGAATGTTAAACAACATTGTCCTGCTGGCATTGGTTACATCAGTGCAGTGAATACCTCCATTTTTTCCACCAGTCAAACTCTTAAATGAATGAATAAACATTATTACTGCATAATTGGAAAATTAATAGAATAAATATGCAAACTCTACGTTTGCTATTATTTACAAAAATTAACTATAAGAAAACAATTCATCAGGTACAATTTTAACCTAGTATGTTCAGTGTGTGTGTGTGTGTCTGTGTGTGTGAGAGAGAGGGCAGAGAATCAACAAGATAGATGCCAACAAGATAGGACTACTTTTACTGTAATAGATATAGTAATAGAACCTTGCAAGTCTGAATGTACTTCCCATTTTATTTTATCTTTATGTGACGCCAAGGATGGGCTTGTCTTAGATGTTTTCTTAATTTTTTTTCTTGGCTCAAGTCTCTCTTTTCTGACTCTGTAACAGTATGTGAAAATGACCTTGGGAGATTCGGAGAAGAAAAAAATGCTGGATGGGAAATGATCAGATAAGAGTAGGCATAGCCTTCAGAATGCACAATGGGCAGAGAAAGAAACTCAGAAAGGAACTTCCATCTCCTCAGGCTGTAAGAGGCACCAGGAGATTCGTATTATCAGACTTTCAAGATTCTGTTAATGTACCCTTATGGTTAAGTAGAATTAGCTCATCTGTTTGTGTTTCCTATCTGGTCAACCTGGAGTGCTGATAGACTGGTGCCTTAGTAACAGCTATTCTCTTGTCCTTTTTAAGGCCATTACTTATGTCTGCTACAGTGTGTGTATGAGAAAAATAGTTTCTCTATAGAGCTATAGATCCCAGCAGATTATACTTCTGTTATATTCTGGAATGTTTGTTTTCTTTTAGGCATTTGTATCTCTAATATAATCCATGTATAACAGTAGAATTTCATAGCAAATCCAGTGGAACTTTAAAATGTTAAAGCCTTTAAGAACTGATGTTTTAAGAACGGAAGTCAGCTATATAAGTCTGTCTGTCTGTCTGTCTGTCTTTCTCACTGTTTCATCATATATTTATTCAATGTATAGGATAAATGCGTATCTATATTTAAATCAGAATTTCCCAAATCTAGATAAATTACGTAAAATTCATAAAAATTGTTTTTTGGGGGATGAAACAAGAACATATTATACAATCACAATAGGAATATTTAAATTAACTGAAAGTGTTTTACCTATATTGAATAAAAATGACCTTTTGATAAGCAGTTTTGAGTAATGAAAGAAAAAGCACTAATTTAGAATATTACTAAACCCAACTTTAGTGCTTTATGATCAAAACTGAATGAATGTGAGAACATATTTGCCCATCAAGGATGAATAGTTTTAAAGGATATTAAAAACAAGCTGAGGAAGTATGGAAATCAAAGAAACTGATTTCATTATTGTATACTAATACATACCCATATTAACCATGAATCAATAGTACCAAAAAGAGCTCTCCCTTCAAGAACTGCTTGTCTGATCTCTTTTACATTGTCCAAAAGCCAGCGTAGCTTCACAGCACTGAAATATGTGCTAAGAGGGAGACCAGTCCTATGCTGCAAGGTTGAAAGTTAATCAATCATAATATGTAAACATCTACAGTATAACAAATCTACTAATCCATTTTTTTCTTTAATTATTATTATTATTTTGGTAGTTTTGACTCAGTCTGCATTCCTGGTGACTACCTGTCCAAGTCAATCTTGGGGATGTTTTTGGAAGTGGTTTGACATTCCTTCTTTCTGCAGCTGAAAGAAAGTGACTAACTCAAAGAAACCTAGTTGGCTTCACACAGATCTTACAATCCCCTGTTTTCTTTAGTGCCTTTAACCACTACACTAAATTAGTTTTTTTTCATTAGCATGAATATTAAAAAAAATGATTTGCACTGTGTAATTACCAGACATACTCTAATTATTCTAAGGTCAGTTTTTACCTTAAAAAAGGATTTATTCTTTCCTGGAATCCTTTTAAGAAGTCTTTCAACAGTAGATTGAGTCCTTAGGTCAAGCCATACTAGAATCCAAAGACAAGTATTAATATCAGTAAATATTTAAGGAATGCATTGATTGAATAGAATCAGGTTCTGAATCTCCGAATAGGTCCCCATTGACAAACTTCTCAAAATCATCTAATATAATTTAAATGTCTTCCTGAACAATAGGAACAACCTTATTCAAGAAAGGAGAATTAAGATTAGATTTTTAAATTGGTACTTTATCATTGTAAACCATGCTTCTTCTGATTAAGCTAATGTAATTTCAGTTCCAAATAAATTATTTACCTAACAAAAATGTTTAAAGTGCGAGTAAGCTTACATCACTTAGTAATTTATCTAGCCAAATGCTTTTTAAATAAAAACTAAGATTCACAAACCAAATAAAATAAAAAATTGAGAGTAGACATTTTAAAAACAGAGAAGAATAAAACCACAAATTAAGTTTAGATATGAACAATTCAGACTTCTGAATTTAAATTACATGGTCATGCCTGAATAGTTTTCTTCATTTCATAGGTCTATTCTTAGCCCATATTCTTTTAGAGGGGCTTTACGCATTCAGAGAGCATCTCCTGGGATCTAACCCGTAAAAATTGGGTGTGCCAACAGCAATTATATTATAGCAATTTATGCTTAGTTACCAGTGCTTAATTAACGTATTTTCCATTCATATAAGCATTTAGAAGAGTTCTGTCAATGTTTGCATCTTGTTCAAAACGTGCAACTTAGCGGTTTACTCATATAAAATTTATTTTGTATTACTATGAACACTTTGTTTAGGCAGCTGAACACCAAATTGAAGAATTATGATGGAATGAAACAATGTTTTTTCTCCTGTCCTTATGATTGCTTCTCATATCTTGATTCAACAGTTCATTAAGAAATCTTGACATGATGAATTAATAAATTATGCTTCAACTAAGTCCATTCAATGTAGAATTTGATTAATTTGTTAATAGAACAATAGGAACAAATTCCTTCTGAAGAAGAGAGCAAAACCGAAATTTTTGAGAGTTGTTTTGAAATACAAAGAATTCTTTGGGGATCTTTAAACATAAGATAAAAAACAAAGACTAATATCTGGTGCAAAGTATTGTTACTGATGTTCATAAAACATAAAACATGTGGATATGAGAAGAACTATATTAATAAAAAAGACTTACTAACCAATAGCATTATACAGAGGTTCTCCAGTTTCTTTGTCCCAAACTACAGTTGTCTCTCTCTGATTGCTAACTCCAACAGCTTTTAAGAACAAAACAAACATTCTATCATTTTCTACATTATTACAAATTTTGGATCACCAAAACCTGAGCAAAACTATGCTTCTGAATGAAATTATTTCTGATTGTTCTTTTACTATAAGTTATTTGTACTTATCACAAGTCACTTCTGAGAATAAAGAGATCACCCAGATTGAAGTACAAAGTGGCAGAGGGGACAACATTGAGAGAAAGGTATTAACAGAATTCAGCAAGCTAATTTGCCAAAGCAAGTGCCTTCTGGCTCATTTAAGACAGTTTTTGATTGGTTATAATTCTAAAATATTTTAGTTTCCTTTAAAGATATTTCAGTAACATCACATTTATTCTCCACTCATCTCTGTAAGTTATTTATGTATATCACTTTTTCCTCTTGATTTGGAAGGATATTCATGATTGTTATAGAATTAAAAATACCTTTTATGTTGGAAATGTCTATATTCAGCTGGTTCAATTTCTCACATGTTCTTTCAACACATTCATAGACAGACTGCAGTATTTCCTTTGGGTCTTGTTCTACCCACCTTGAAAACATCAAGGCCCACATTAGAAGTTTGGCAAGTGATATGATATAGTCAACAAACCACAATGGCTTGTTTGCTTCATTGCCTTAGAACAGGAGTGTCAAACTCAAGACCCACAGGACAGATCTGGCCTGTAGGGTGCTTAGATCTGGCCCATGAGGCCGCCCTGGAAACAGTGAAGGAGTGGCCTGCAGTGCCTCTGCCAGTTAAAATGGAGCTTGGGAGGGCAGCGCACAACTCTACAAGGCTCCGTTTTCATTAGTAGAGGGCTGCAGGACATCGAGCTGGCCACGACCACCCTGGCCATGCCCATCCTGGCCATGCCCACTCAGCCCCCCTGAGGTCAAACACAACCCTGATGCGGCGCTCAATGAAATAGAATTTGACACCCCTGCCTTAGAAAGAGATGATCTTTTACCAACAATAGTTTCATTGACTATTAACCAGTTTCCTAAAAACAGAATGAGTGTACCTTTTTTCAGTTAATTGTCCCTACAAAAACCTGCAAAAATATTTGATTTAGACAGAATATTAGCTTATATTGCCAGGTAGAATAAGTAAGCCTTAGCTTCAAATGATCTTTATCTTTACAGCGAATAAAACCAAACAGAATCTTTCATTGTTGGCTTTAGAACAAGCAAAACATATCAGAAAATAAAATCAAAATCAAAGAAATCCTAATCTAATCACAGTGATGCCAAAATATAAAAAATGTGTTGTAAAGTCAAAAAGAGTCTCTCTTATATACTGTGTTTCCCCCAAAAATAAGGCCTAGTTTTATTTTCTTTTGGGCTCCAAAATAAGCACTAGGGTTTATTTCAGATGTCTTTTTTCCACACAGGCAGCTGTGCAGCACATCTGTCAGGCTGGATGATGAACTGACTGGGCAAGGCACAAGGCGGGGTGGGGTGGAGCCATGCCATGGCTCCACATGCTCCATCCCTGCCATTCTACTTTGTCCTCCAGATCCACCCCCACCCCGTCAACAGCAGAGTGAGATGACCCGGCTGCCTGCCTGCCTCTTCCCTTTCACTCCCCCCCTGAGCTGGACTGCCATGCTATGGAGGATGGGCAGGTGAGGCTCAGTCCCCTTACCCAATGCCCCTCTGCTGTGTCAGGGTTCCAAGTAACACACCCAACAGAATCAAAACTCCAAGACAGGCATAATCCTCAAAGTATAGATTTATTAGGTATGTCATATTGGCACTGTTAGGTATAACATTGATACCAAATATGGTTTGGGTGAATAAATATATAAAACTTAGATATCATGGTTTAAGTGTTTATCACTTTAAGCACAATGCTGCAGGCAATTAGCCGATTAAGGGTGCGGTTAGAAGTTACAATATAAGGAAGCATTAGAAGCTGGAAAGCTTACTGTGTGTTACTGCGACTAACTGTGTCTTACTGTGACTAACTGTGAATCCTGTCTGCTACTGTTTGCTGATTTACTGCGTAATTCTACTGTTCTACTGTTTGAGCGTCTTGCTGAATATCCAGCGATTGTTCCTCTGGAGAGAGGCACCGGAGGAGGAGAAGATATCTTTATCGGCTGATAAAGATATTGCAAGGACTCTTAACTTGGACTATAATAGTGAGTCTTACTGGATGGAAATACTGTGAATGACTTAATGGACTGAATGACAATGCTTTAAACTCTAAATGGATTAAAAACTATTTAAACTACAAACAGTGTTTGTGTTCAGTGTGTGTATACTCTGGGGCCCTGCCTGGCTTGACTACTGCTGCAATACTCTGCTAGGGGTTAATCCCCAAACACTAACAGGCACATCTGGGGAAACCCGACTCTAAAATTCCCTTGGGTTTCCCCCTAGTTAATGTGAAAATTTTAAAAATTACAAATATTTAGATGGTTGGATTATCCGCAAATGGTGTATTTTTCATAGTATTTTGCTTAAAATACTGAGAGTCAGCTCCTCTGCAGGCTGGCAGGGAGGGGGACAGAAATGGACAGGGGGGGCAGTACGGGGTGGGTGGGTGGGATGGCATGACGGATGCCTCCTGTAGCACCCTGCTGGCCAAAACGGGGCATGGGGGCATCTGCACATGTCCCTCCCCATACCTCATTTTTGACCTCCATGGCCTCCTGTAGCACACATGGCTCATTTTGGGGCCATTTTTCAGCCCATTTTGGGTCAGCTTTCTGGCTGTTTTCAACCCATTTTTAGTTTTCCCCCCCCTGCCCTTGCAGTCCATCACATGGTCAAATCAGGTGATAGTACAAGGGTCACTTGGTCTCAGATCCCACCTCCTCACAGCTGGTGGGTAAACCCTTGGTTCTCAGAGGAAAGAATTTTATTTTGGTTACAATCCCCCAGCTATCTCTACCTCCCCATTCCCATTCCAACAGCTTGACTAATCTCCGCTGTGGCAGCCCTGAAGATGCCAGGGGAAAATGGCTCCAGGGCTGACAGGCTGCTCCCCCTCAGTTGATGAAGACCTCCTGCAATGAGAAAATCATAGGGGTTTGGGTAACATTGTTTAGGTTTCAGGTGTGGGTGAATCTCCAGGTCTACGGCCACTGTCATCCGGTACCATTCATGTATGCGCTTGGGGACCCCCTGGAAGGCATAAGCCTGCCGGAACTCCTAATTCAGGGCCTTCTTGAATTGATGGACAAGGAGGCATTCTAGCCAGTCTCTTAGTTTTCCTGCCACTCTTTGGAATTCCCACACTAGTTCCTTGGCAGGGCGGTCCTTCTGCTTTAGTTCTTTGATCTCAGCCTCTGCCTCCTGTCCTTGGACCGTGTCTTTGAATTGGGTCCTTAGTAGCTGCAGCAACTCATCTGTGTCCTACAGCTCAGGAGCCCCTTCAGCATGCAATTGGGCTACTCACTCAGCCACTTCACCATCCATGTTGTCAGCAATGGCCGAAATCATTTCTTGATCGGACTGGTACTGACCTCTGTAGTGGTCGAGGTGTGACCAGATTCAGTTCAAGAAATATGCCAGCTTTCCAGGACTCCCATCAAAAGTAGTCCTGAAGTGTGGGGTAGGGGGTGGTTGGTGGCGCTGACGGTAGTGCTGGGGCAGGTTGAGAAGCAGGCACTGGCATCCATTGGCATTGAATCCACCCTTGACTGGGATAGAATGCCCAGCTAGGAGGGATCTGATCTGCAGGGGGTAGTCTGAGGGGTGGTTGGCAAGGCAGACTGCCTTGCCTCATAGGCCTACAGCCCCTTGCTGCAGTCCTGGGCTGGACTGGCCTAGGGGTCCTGGCAGCTGGCTAGCGATCATGGGTTGAGCTGTCAGTCCAGTAGATAGGCCCAACAGGGGAGGCTTAGGCATATTCTGCTTTGTGCTGAGTGAAATGAGAAGGAAACCCTGCTATGGGTGCTCATGTTCCCATTGTTAGGGTCCCAAGTAACACCCCCAACAGAAAGAAAATGCTGAGGCAAACATCTTCCTCAAAGCACAGATTTATTAGGCATGTCATATTGGCACATCAGGGGACTGCATCTGAAGCATTTAATGGTAGCTGTGGAGGTTGGCCGTGGCTTGCTGGCCTGCTTCACACTAATTTGGCATTTGGGTTTTTTCTCTGGTGTGGGTTTCCAGTGCAGGTGGATGTTAGGAATTGCTAGTCACCTAACAGTTGGGTTGGAAATATATAAACCAGGATAGACATTTAATACTGTCTCTTTAAGGGAATGGTAAAATTGTAATTGGATGTGGTTCCTCAAACGGCCATAAGGTGGAGCCAGAAACCTGGTTTTCCAGAGAGTGTTGCTAGTTGCTAGTTGGTTGATGTTCTGATGTTCACTGTTTTTGGTTTCTGTGTTTTTCCCTATTGACTGTTTCTGATTGTCGTTATTCTTGGATTGATGTGAGTCTATTACTGAACTGTTTTTGATACTGGACTTTGTTATTGGATTATCCCTGGACTGAAAACTGACTGCTATAACCGTGTATGACTTGGACTGCTTGTTGGACTTTGCTTAACCGTTTACTGGAAGTAAAAACCTACATTTTACTATACAGTGTATCTGTGTGCTGGTTGTGTTATTCTTCACCACTCACTACGTCTCCCTGTGTGCGCTCATTCTCCTAATGGGGAATTACCTCAACAGTGGATCTCATGGTCCATGGCCACTGCCGTTTGGTACCACTCTTGTATGTGATCGGGAACCCTGTGGAAAGTACAGGCTTGCCAGAGGTCCTGATCCAGAACCTCCTTGAAATGTTGGATAAAGAGGTGTTCCGTCACTCTCCAAAATTCCCAAATCAGCTCTTTTGCAGGCCTACCTCTCTGGAGCCACTGGCGGTGACGCTGGAGCCAGCCGGGGAGCTGGCACTAGCATCCATTCATACTGCATCCATCCCTGGAAAGGATAAAACATCCACCCAGGAGGAATCTGGTTCACTGGGGTTAGCCCAAGGGGTGGTTGGTGGGAAGGGCTACTTTGCCTTGGCATCCCAGAGCTGGACTGACCTAAAGGTCCCGGCTGTTGTCGGGCAATGACTCCCGGTTGAGCTGTCATCCTAGTAGACCAGGCTTGGCGAGATAGCTCTAAGCGCAATCCATTCTGCGCCAAGTGGAAAGAAGCAGATGACCCACTCTGGGATGTCATGTTCCCTTGCCTTGGGAAGGTGAATGTTGGCTGATTCAGGACCCAGCCAGGCTGACTGCTAGGAAGGAGTTTAGCCACACAGCCGATGCTGAGTTCACCAAATCTCTGGGGGAGTCCAACTAGAGATTGGCTTCTCGAAGGCAGGGCAAGACCTCGCTTCCTGGATTCGCTGAGCTCAAGGGGCCTTATGGCTCTCCACTCAAAGACTGTGGTGTGCCTGGGCAGATGATCTGGAGCTCTTGGAACACCTTGCTGCCTGCCGTATCTAACTTGGCCCAGCATGGCTCTTGATGCACCAGGCCCCTCATCAATTCTTGGGATGATGGTAACCCTGCTCTGTTGCCCCACTGGGAGGGATCCACCTGAGTGCACGGCCAAGACACTTGCTCTTTGGGTCAGGTGCCCTCCC